AATTAGTTTGGGCTTATAAAGTAGTGCTTATTTCAACTTTTAGCATGATAAATTGCATATTTATTTGGTATGGCACGTGAATCATGACTCGTGCGAGCGTGAATGACGAACTTTCACGTGTTCCAAATCGGGTATTTTCTTAATAAGGCATTGCATTGGGTCATGAATTTATTTGGGACCAACCCTGGATTTTTGGGCCTCAACAATGCCCTATTGAGTGTTTTGGGCTTGTTTATGAGGTTTTGAGGTTGAGTTTGTTCTAAGAAATCAATGGCAGTTTTGTAATTTAAAAGATTATTATGTTGTGAATGGGCTTTGGGTGTGTTTCTAAAGTCCATTTCATATAAGGTTTTTTTTTAATTTTATAATTTGGGCTTCTATATTAGGTATAATAGTGAATCTCCCTATAATTTTCTTTTATGTTAAAATCAGTCTTAGACAATATGGGGCCGTCAGATTAAGCTTACATTTTAAAAAAATAAAATTACAAAAGCATATTAAATGTAGTCGTTGGGTCTCAATGGCTACATGAATTAAACACAACATGCGGCCAACATTTAAAGGAAGAGGCGGACTTCTCCTGCAAACGAGCCCCACTCGATTTGCACCAGCACATGGGCTGTTTTGAGGCTTGCTTTGGGCTCCACCTTTTGCATGTAGGCTCCACCAATTTTCAATCCAGGCAATAGACAAGGCGGAATAGCTCCTGGGTTTTTGACTGGACTGCTTTTTTATCCCATTCGTGTACATGGTTGGAGAAGCTTTTTGGGCAAAAAACTGAAATTTTGGGTTTGGCCCAGTCCCATTGGAGATGGCCTTATTGTATTCATAAAGGAGCACTCACAAATTATGCTTCTTATTTTTTAGTTAAAACTTAGCTAAAAACACTATAAACTATTTTAGAAGCTCCTTATAAAATTTCAACAAATGTCTAAAATATCGAGAGTTTCGGAAATATGGGTGGTCCAAAAACACAGATATATCGATGGAAATATCAAGGAAATGTCGATATCGATAAAAATTTGATAAAAATCACGGAAATTGTGAGAAAAACTTGTAAATTTTTTTATTGAAACTATAGAGGATGTTTATTTAATCAATTATCTATTATTTTATCACAATAAATTGGAATAAAATGCATGGCATGGTGGGTTTGAGTGATTTAAGTTGATTATGTATCGACCTGACAAGCATTGTGTCTTTAAAAAATATGTAGTAATTAGTGAAAGAAAATTTAACACACCATAATTTTTTAGTTATAATAATTTACTACAATATATTTCATATGATAAGATATATGAGCTTGACAAAAAAACAAAAAAAAAATATTTAAGTAACTTAGTACCATATAGAAAGAATTACTATTAAAGTTAAAATCGCATATAATGAACAATATTAAAACTTAATAGTGAATAATAATACAACTCCATAATATATAACAAAAAAAAAATCTCCATAATAAAATAATAAATAACATTAAACATATGCCTAAATTTATCATTAGGGATTTTTTTTATAATGGAAATTTATTCTAGATAATATTAGCTTGCAGAAATTTTAAAGACCATATAAATATTACACATCATAACTTTATTAACAAACTCATTTGCAGCGTGTTGGATAAGGCCCAATAGATGGATGGGAAAGAGAGGGGTTCAAATCCCCCCTTGTTGGCAAAATCGCCATTTCTCAAAAAATTTCATTTATTTTTCATAAATGATTTATTTATTGTTTTAGTTTAGCATAAATGCTCCCTCTTGATATAAAATAGGCTTAAAGCATCTACAATCATACTACCTATTTTTTAGTTAAAATTTAGCTAAAAACACAAAAAAGTTATTTTATAAACTCTCTATAAAATTTTAACTCCAGTCATACTCCCTAGTTTAGAGAGTCATAAATACTATAGTTATTTTTTAATTCAATATAATTGGTCTATCTCTATAAAAAGAATATATATAATTAATATTAATTAAAAGTTTAAACTATGCATAAAACAAAGCAACATTAAATTGTAAGGAGCTAGTAAGTCTTTTCTCTCTCCTCAGCTCATAGAGGTCTTTCTATTTTAGGAGGTGAATAGGAAAATGGTTGGAGTTTTATTTTTCTAATTCCTCCCTAAAATTTATGTAAGGAAGTGGTTTAGGGATCTCATTGTGGATGCTCTTATTTACTATAGTACCCCCTAAAACTTTGGTTAAATCTCACTTCCCCTTGAAAGTTAATGTGACCTACTTAACCCCCTTGACCATGGTTTTATGTTCAACTTTACTCCCTACCATAAACTCCATCCAAAAGTATGTTAAAATTTATGGCGTATAGGGGTATTTTAGTTATTTTCAACACATGGGATATTTACCCACTAATTTGATCAGGCAAAGTGGATCCCACATCCAGCATGGACAAAAAAAATAATAATTACAAAATCAATTTCCCAACCTTCCTGAGCAGCACCAACCCAACCTTAGCCGTTTCCCCATCCTAACTCTCGCCCACCAACCTAACCCTAGCCCTTCCCCTATAGTCCCTCACTTCCTCTTCTTCTCTTTCTTCCTTTCCAGCCGACAAGGTACATTCATTCAAGAAAGATTGCGCCAAGCTCGATCCAAGATGAAGAAGCTCGCCAACCTCCTCCTCCAGGCGGCGAGTGTGAGCCACGAGCTTTAAGAGCGCCCCATGCGCTGCATCATTGATGAGGGTTAACCCATCTCAATGGCCTCAAGCTCTTCAATCATCTTTTTCAAATCCAATTTTTCAGCCACAACACCAACACCAACACCACCACAAATTTTTCAACCTGACGTCATCAACGTAAAAAAATTAAAAATTAAAAATTATATTAAAAATGGGAAAATATTTAGAAATATTTTTCTATACATACCTAGCAATTTATTATTATTATTATTATTAATCTCATACATATAAATAAAATTAATCCCATATGAATAATAATTGCTCTTGGATTGCCATGGCAATGGATGGAAAAACAAAATAAAAAAGGGTAAGGTAATCACTATTCATGTGAATAGTGTCTGCCCTTATCCTTACCATGACACCATGGGTGTAGAATGTTCCTTGGTGGACCATGGAAGGCATGGGTGTTAAAGTTGTGGGATTTGAGGCTGTCCAAGGACTAGTGGGGGATATGACTGAATGAGGGAATTCTGCCAAGAAAAATGGGAAATTGGATTAAGGGAATGATCCCATAAATTATCGAAGAATTTTAAATAAATAGTTTGATATGTTGTCATTCGACGGAACACTAAACACAATATAACTTAGCTTATTTTCGAGGGCATTAAGTGGTCGTTGGAATTAATTTTTCTATTTGGGAGGGTATCTTCACGTTGTCGAAAATTATAGCCTATTTTTTAGGGCAATAAGTGGTTATTATTGTAATTGATTTTTCTATTTGCGAGGGTAATTAGTTGTTGTCCGAAGTGATTATGTACTTTAGAGGGCAATCATTAATTCTCGCAAAAGGATGTCTATTTGCGAGGGTCATAATGTGAATTTTTCTGATTTTATTTGTTGTGGCTATAAGAGGGCAACATGTGTCATTTTTCTTTTATTTATTGTGTTCTATCTTAAATAATTCATAAGAAATTAAATAAAATTCAGAAAAATATACCAAAAATTGCTATAGTCTCCTTACGACATAGCCTTCAATTATGTAGATCTAAAATCCTGATTGCACATATTTGAATTCATGGGAATCATTGGATCAAAGAATCAGGATTGTATGTGAAAGAATGTTTTGATTTGTCTAAGAATAATGTTGAGCTTTTATTATTCTGATTTTTCTGAATCAGATGTTGCACATTGGAAGGTTAGAGCCATTACGTCATCTATTGCAGTATTCTCATCCTTCTTTACCATTACCCGCATATGTCTTGGAGTCAGCGGATCCCTTGCCACTCCAACACCTACCGTGAGCCTCAGAAAAATTTCCAAATATTTTTATTAAGATCACTATAAAAATTGCAGTCCAATTTGTGGCAACTTGTATTTTCATGAAATTAAATATTGGTATATTCAAGGGAGAATTTATTTCCTGAATATATGAAGTTGAAATTTTGGTATTTTTGATGTCATTGAAAAATAGTAGATGTCCATACTAGCATGTGGTATTTATGGGAGAATTTTCGGAACTCGGAAGTATTTTTGGTGAATTTTTGAAGTTGGAATATAGGAAAAATTAAATAGAGTTGACACATCACTGCCACATGGCAGCATGTGATTGGCTGGTCCAACTCAATCATTGAGTTTGACTTTTGACTCAAATTTTGACTAGTTTCTATGGTACTATTCCGTGAGCTCATTTCATCTGAACTATTGACCTAATTCTAGATCAGATCTGGACATTTGATCACATCGAAGACTTTTGATTGGATCTGGACTTTTAGATGGGTAGGTAGGAATGCATATGGATGAATGACCATTCATCTTAAAGATACCATGAACCTCTCCACACTTGATCCAAACTCAGTTGTTTCACACAAGCTTTTCTACTTTTATATGGTCTTTAATCCACTTAGTTTGGATATTAATCTTCATTTTGTTGGTTGAGATTTGGAGTTTATGATTTGTTGGGATTTTGAGTTTGGAGGAAGAAGGAAAAAATATTGGGTCCAATAACAGTTAAATCAAGAGATTTTTATTTTATTTTTCAAAATGATGATTAAGTGTTTCTTCGGGCAATGAAATTGAATTTTGTGGGACTTATTTGTGAAGAGCATATGGTTTACAATAAAATCTAATCCTTCTATCAAAGTATTTCCAAGTATGATTTACCTACCCACAAAGAGAACAGATTTGCTTACCATAAATTCTTAAGTGATTTCATTTGGGATGATAAAGAACCATAATTTGATGATCATCCCCTAATTTTCTATAATCTAATGGGCACAATTAATTACACCCAAGTTTTCTTAAACAACCAACTTCATGCAGCATTCTGAATACTCGTTTGAAATTAGCAAATTTGCACAAAGCATATGTACCCAGTAGCCTGATGCATTTGTAGACATTTTCTTTCCATAAACTATACCAATCCAAATTCTGTACACATCCAAAATGAAACCACATACCTCACTGCATTTAGAGCCACTTTCTTCTTCTCTCTCACACAATTAATTTCCATGATACATATACTGGTTAAGGATGCCCGACTTGGGTTTGTTTGTTTCTCTGCTTGTATTTGCTTTAATAAAAGCATGGCTGGCAGAAGCAGTCGATTGCATGCATGAGCTTCCTCCTAGGCCCTACTGCATTTGCACCCATATCTTTGAGCTTCTTCATGGTCAGATTAACTAACTGAAATTTAGTGAGACCCTTCCTCTGGAAAATCCTAACAAACTGCCCCAGTCCTAGTGACGCTAGCCACCGGCTTAACCCGCCAGCTTTCTGAAGCTTCCTCTCAAGATTCAGAGCTCTTAGCCTTTGGTTCAGCAACATTCCCTGATCAAGGAAAATACACGGTCCATGTGATCGCCTTGGCTGCAAGATAGCTTTTGAGGTTTTGGATACTCCCAGAGTTCTATGACACTGAGAAGAAACTATTTGATCTTGATTTCGTAATTCCATTCTTAAATCTCGCCCAAATGACTTGGAAAATGTCAAATTGTGTTTAGCAGGAGGACGTTTTCTAGTAAGTTGAATACCCCTTTTAGGAGCAAGATATTCAATCTTCTTTCGCTCATGAATTGAAGCCGTTTTGGGACACGTCTCAACAGGTAATTGCGATCCATCGCCTGCCACTTCTGTGGCCACAGGTTGCAGCTGAATTGGTCCTGGGTTTGGCGGTGGAGATTTATTAGCAACAGGCAGCGGAGGTATCAGAATTTTGACTCTCTGCTTTTTAACTATCACCCAACTATCTTGCAGATCAAGATCATTATCGGAGTTTGAAGACTCAATTAGACCACTGGGAGTATTATTCTTGTGCAGGGCAACCACCAGCTGTCTTTGCCTTTTCTTTGCCATCAGCAGAGAACCTGCTTGTGAAATTAAACGTTGATTGGATAAAAAACAATGAGATCATTGTTAAAGGCAAATACGACCAGACAATTGAACATATACAGCTCAAACTCTAGCAGCTGACGACCAAACAATAATTATCTTACACAAAACAAAAATGAAAAGAAAAAAGCTGCTTTTACCAAAAATGTAACAAACAAATAGCAGGACTTCACATATTATCTGAACTGGAAACTGGGTTTAAAATTCCCCTCCTTATCTTTAGCATTTAAGACACAACTGCAATATAATTAAAACAAGTAACAAAAATAACTATGAACTCTACGCAACTCCTATGAATCCCTACAGAAGACTACTGGGTACATAATCTCTTAGCATGTAAAAGTTTTCCCTTGTAAAAGATTCTCAGGGCTACAATTCGTTCATATCAGAATTCAGAAATAAAGTCGAGAAAAAATTTCGACAATACTATTATAAGCAGCAAGCAGTGCATCATTTCTGATTATTGAGCTAGTATTGAAAAATGGGTGTAACAACAAAGGAACAAAATTCAAATTTTTTGTGTGCCCAGCCTTGTTTTCAGATGAACTGAACCACTCAACTATCAATTCTCTCCTTCCCCTAACACATCAGAGAGCATCGGATGAAAATATCAATCTTGATATTCTTTAGATTTCCCAAGAAACCAAATATGACCCAAACACCAAAACAACAGGATCTTAATTTGTTGGTAATTTGTACAAAACTGAATTGTTTATGCCTACTGTCTTGTTTGGATGGAAGAAAACTTAAGCGAAATAAAACTTCTGTTTTGGATTATAGCCTCAAGTCTGGCTCAAGAATCAACATTTATCTAAACCTAGCCATCCTCAGAACCCAAACAATCCCAAAAGTTACTGAAACATTGAACAATACTTGCACAAACAGATAGTGCAACTAAAAGAGTAGTGGGCAATTTGAAAAAGAAAGAACAAGAAAAAACAAAGAGGAAATTTACCAGTAGAGACAGCTGAAGGAGGCGTTGATACAGAAGCAGCTGATGGGTAGGCGGTTGTTTCTCTGAGGAAGCCTTCTGGGTCCTCTGGACTTGGGTGGATCTCAGATCAAACGGGTTTGGGTTGGTTGGGCGGGTGGGTTTGAGTTTTCAGTTGGGTTTGCAGCTGAAGCCTGAATTTTTTGGTTTAGGGGAAGAGCAAGTCTCTGTGGATCCTCTTCTGTCGATATCAGGAGGGGCTCGAACCGAGTTGAGGGAGTGATCATGTAGCAAGCGATCATGGACGAACTACAATTGTCAATTGATGTGGGGAATTCAGAGACCCACGTCAATAAGCCATTAAGATTTGGGGCATTTTGGATTCAGCCCGTACAAGAGTCGTATTATACCGACGTATTTTTTAGTAGTTGGACAATAATATCCTCATTCATTTTATAAATTGCCTTAGAGCACTTTTACCCACAAGGGTTAAATCTAAGGCAAGGGCTGCCACTATTTATGTGAATACTGTCAGCCTTGTCATTTGTGGTTCCACCCATAAGAGCACTTCCACCAGTTAGCCCATTGCCATGACAAGAGGAGCCCTAGGGCAGCTACTATTCATGTGAATAGTGGCTGGCCTACCCCCCCCTTTCCCAAGAGTGGTTTCCCCAGGTTTGGGTGCCCCTCGTAA